ATAACGCTTTCCTTATCTTTTTTTTTTTCTTTTTCTTGGAGACAAATGTCACATGAGTGTTGGGTAACAGTGAATACTGTATTTTCTTTCCTGTTTTGGTTTGACTTTACAAAGAGCAGATGATAATAGATTGGAGAATCTTAGCTCTGTTGTTGATTGTAGATCAAACACCTTTTTCCTTCGACAACTTTTATTTTGTTTTTCTCTTTCCTCTTTTTTTACATGGGGCGGGATGGGGTTATTGTATGAAGCGGGGTCGACGGTTGTATATATTCATGTTTTTGTACCACAGAAAAATCATTTGGATTTTGTCCACTTTACGTTCAAAACATGTATATTTTGATAAAAACGATAGCAGACCTATAGGAGCTCCATGGAGCTGCCAAAACAACAGAATAAAAAAAAAGATTTTGTAACACAAAGACATTAAACCTATGTGAACACACAGCAGTGTCTCTGTATGTACCCGCTCTCCCGCCTTCGTCAGTCTGACTGTCCTTGTCTCTCTGCATCCTCTGCCGCCTTCAATAAATCTTTAGTTCGTTCCCTCTTTCACTTGGACTCATTTGGTTTCCGTCTCTTCCTGTTTGTCCTGTGCATTTGCTGCTGCTGCTGCTCTCTTATTGGTTAACATCTCCTGTAACATTTTTCCACATTTCCCAATGCTGTTTAGAATCTGGTGGGTTTTTATCTTTTTTGTTTTATTAATTTAAATTTAAATTTCCCACTTTTTACTCATCCCATCTTATACTGTCTGCTCACTGGGCCTCAGCACACAACCCAGTTGCTGGGCTTTGAAGCCGCTGTATCGATGATGATGGAGACAAAGGGCAGAGTTTATTTGATATTCAACTCAGAAAGTCTGCTGTTCTCAGTGGTTCTGAATAATTCTCTGACCTTTTTAAGGTTAGCAGGTCTTTGTTATTGTTAAGACGAGGGAGGCTGCAGGGGACTGGTTTTCTTTTCAGGAGAATAATAATTAGAATTAAACAGTCAGCCCGTCTTCCACCCAGCTACTGCAGTGGTTCAGACTTTATACATCAGTACGAGCTTTTAAATATTACTTGTACAGAATAATAACCAATGCAAAATACAGCAGGGTAAGGCTGTGTTTTTCAATATTTTAAAGAGCAACATATTCCTATTAAACTTGTTTACCTAATTTGAGCTACAAAAAAAAAACAATCAAGTTTACCTAATTTGAGCTACAAAAAAAATCATCTTGATTAATACATAAAGTCAATATCCACTTTATGAAATCAAATATTTTCTACGTTCTTCTGGCTTCAACTTTCCTTATGATTAATACATAAAGTCAATATCCACTTAATGAAATCAAATATTTTCCACGTTCTTCTGGCTTAAACTTTCCTTATAACAACAAAGGAATTACCTGTGTCCCATGAATCTTGTCTTTCACTGATAAACCTAAGACAGTTTGGACTAGATTTCCTCGCTAAAACATTTGGAATTAATGCCTTGCTCAAGCGTTTACTAGCTTTATTTTAAATTTTTTTGGAATTAATGCCTTGCTCAAGCGTTTGCTAGCTTTATTTTTTTAAAAATTTAACACTTTCCCCCCTTTACCTTTGGGCTAATTTGGAGCTCTTTTCCTAACCTGCAGCCTTTGATTACTCCCCTTTACCTTTGGGCTAATTTGGAGCCCTTTTCCTAACCTGCAGCCTAACAATTGTGGCATTAAAAAAATATAAATTGCGGGCATTTTCCTCCACATTTTGATTAGTGACTATATATAGGATTATGTTCATTTTGTTGCAGTGCATACCACTGAAACGAAATTGTTGTACAATTACATCGTCCATCCAAACATCGACCTGTAGCCACAAGGGGGAGCTCTTGCTCTCTGTTAGTCTTCAAAGGCCTCTGAACAGAGGTGACTTTACCTGCCATCCACAATGTCAGTAGTTAGTAGTTTAATCCCCAGGGCCTCGGAGTTTTTGTTTTGACTTCACAAAGAGGTTTATCCTTAAATCCTTCCCACTTGTGGGAAGATCTCCATCTCCATCTCAGTGCGGTGGTGCCTGACTGACATGCTACAGACTTCACACTACATCATGTCATGAATAAGACAATTAATAGCCATCAAAAATCCTTATATTATTTCCGACAGTCTCTGTGTCTCATGTTCAGGTATTGATGAAAACATTCTTGACGTTCATCCTCCTCCACCTCCACATCTCCACGGCAACGACTTGACGCTTTCACGCCGCCTCCATACGTCACAACCTTGTTTACTCACAGCATCTTTTTTTTTTCTGCCCTTTTGGATCCATTAAGCAAAGTGTTTACTCTGCACTGGGAGTCATTTTGATCCGAAAGCAGACTAAACAAACATTCTTAAATGACACACCTACACTGATGTGCATGAAGAGAGGATCAAATTACATCTGAACTGAATTACCTTAAAACTACTCAGTGGTACATGTTATACTTGTTATTCTGGGGCCTGAAAATGTTACCAACTTTAGGTATTATGAGCTGTGGTAGCATTTTTTTTATGCTAACAGATTCTTGAACAACTTAGCTATTTTGGCTTTTCATAACTTCATTATCCCCTGGGCTAATTGTACTTTATACAGTATGTTATTGTTTAAGGCTAAGCAATAATATATGTAGTATGGGAAATACTATGTTTATTTTTATTCAATATATGTTGTTTTTGCAAATGTTTATTAATTAGAATTAAGTGTTATATTTGTAGCTAACTGCTACTTAGTAGCCTTGAGCTTTGCTGGCTATCCTTTTTTTATTTATTTTTTGCTTTTAGTTATTTATTTATCTTATATATATTGTGGCAAATTTGGCTATTGTTAGCTTATGGTTATTATGTTCTTCTAAGCTTTATTTCCTAGTTTAGCTGTGCCACCTAAGGTAATTTTCGCAAATTTTTAGCTAGGCTTATTCTTAATTCATTTAGTTGTGTTTTAGTTGTATATATTTATTGACATTTTTTTTTTTGCTACAACTGCTTCTTTTGACTAAATTGTGATAATTTCTAGTGTGACTTTGAGCTTTTTTGGATAAGTATGATTGCTAGCTGAGCTAGCTGGTCATGTTTAATAAATCTTTGCAAATGTTGAAAGGTGAAATGTAAAAACGGTAATTAAAAAATATGACAGCCATTTGAACTCAAATTGTAGGCTAGACATGTTGTTGTGTAAAATACGTGATGGTCAATTACACCATCTAAAAACTCATGGTCTCCACCATGTCTCCTCATTTGTACTCTGAACTACTTTTGTGTGTGACTGCAGACCAGCACCAGCCCATGTCTCCTATTTTGTTAGCCTAATCCAGACCCGTGGGACGTTCCTGGCTTCATGCAGCCTGATGTGCGCTTAAAGCTAAACGCAACCATGTGAGGTCGCGATCCCACCACATCTGGTAGCATTTATTTACATTAGTCTTGTGGTCTCTAATCAAGAAAACCCCATGGCCACACGTACAATAGTGCAACCCCCAACGGTATCTGGGGTCGAGGGCGAGCAAACAATTCGGGGGATTGTCCTGAGAATGATTTGTGACGTTCTGTGTCCTCGAAAAGCTAAGGTTAGTGAATGTTGGACAACATGGAGGCTTTATTTGTTAGTCAACAGGTCCAAAAAAAAAAAAATCATCTGTCTTGTGTTTTATATCGTGGGTACGTGACATTGTTCATATGTCTGTGATTTAACTGCACAGCTTTCACAAGACTCCAATAGCCATAAATTCTGGGTTTTGACAACCTTTTTAGAGGCGTATGTATCCATACTGTCTCACACTAATTTAGATTTAGAGTCACTTAACCATCCTTCAGGCATAAATCTTCGCACATATGCGCGTTTTATGAGATTTAGGCCTCAGTCTCCCTGAATGACACAGCAAAACTGGAGGATGTCTTCAAAAAAGCCACCAGGAGACGACCCACCTGTTTACATATGCACAGCCCAGACTGATGTTTGAATTATTCATCCACAGAGGAGAACACCATACAGCTGTGTTTGGGTTATGAGTGCTGTCCGGGCTCCGTCCTCAGTCCTGGAGTCAGCAGCCAAACAGTTCCAGGCATCGGCGTGCAGACGGAGCGTAGCAAGGCGAAGGGAAACTGGGACACTTTGCATAATGGATTCAGCTGAGAGACAACAATAAGACGTGAACGACGGAGTCGTTTTAAAAATCATAACACGGGGCATTTTGGAATTAAAGGTGTGACAAGTCAGTCTGGTGCCTTCACACTGAAGTTTCAAAACACTGATGCAGTTTAGCCCCCACCCAGGCTAATGTAGGACGTCTTTGACACTTTTTTGGCTAATAAGTTGTTATTTAATAATTTAAAAGCTAATTCTGATACTTTTTTAAATATAACTGCTTCAATTTTGCTAATGTTATCTCAGCTAACTAGCTAAAATAGCAGCATCTTCTGAGCTGATTCTAGCAATATTGTTTGGCATAATTAGACGGTGACTTTTTTTAGCGTTTGGGGATTTTTGTTTTCTCCAGGTAAATGTAGATAATTTGATATAAAATGGCTTCAGGTTTGGCTATTTTGAAAAAGCTTCAGTTGGCTAGCATTTTTAGCTTTTTCACTAATTTGTGGTGGTCTTTTGGCTAATTTTAGATATTTAGCTGTTTTGGGCAGTCAGTTATTTATAATAAACTAAATGGTTAGCGTTTAGCTGTTAGCTATTGTCATTTTGCATTGTTAGATAGATACTTTATTGAACCCAAGGGAAAGTTAAGGATAGATACTTTTCTCAAATGTTTATCAACTTTAGCATCTAATGTTGCTGACGTTTTGGGAATGGTTAGCGTTTAGCTGTTAGCTATTGTCATTTTGCATTGTTAGATAGATACTTTATTGAACCCAAGGGAAAGTTAAAGATAGATACTTGTAGATATTTTTCTCAAATGTTTATCAACTTTTTAGTTATTCATTTGTCTTATCAAAGGCATTGTTATTGACATACTGGTGCCTATTTGGAGGGTTGAAGTAATTTTTTTTGTAATTTTTTCATTAAATTCCAATTTTAACTATTTTTTATGCCTATATCTTATGCCTTTTCTTGCTTTATCTTTATTACTGAAATACCTTTTCAAATAACTTGTTGTTATCTTGGTCAAAAGTCAACATTTTCACAACACCTGCACCTGAGTCCAACACGTTAATGAAGCCTGGGTGCAAATGCTTTTCTTTGATTATTTGACGTCAACAGGATCCTACTGTACATCAACATATTGAATTTGACAGGCTTCAAAAAGCCATCGGAGCAGTTTGTTGACATCTCTGTCATGGCTCTGAGCTTAATTTGTCAAAGATTGATGTTGTTTTACAAAGGAAGCTGCCCACATACATCAACACAGCCCATAGGAGGCAGCACGGGTGGCGGCGCTCTGTCATTCACAGTTATCACTGGAGTTTATGGCTCACAGGTTTCCAGACATGCTGCTGACTCCTTCCTACCCTTTGGGCCCTAATGGACACTGATGGAAAATGACTCCGGTGTTCCAGCGATCCATCAGACACCTCCCGCCCCTTCCTCATCCTGCTCTGCTGCCTCTGAGCGTCATTAATCAGGCCCTGCTTTCAAACTCATCATGAAGTTCTTCACAAGTCCAGATGCGAGCCAGATGAACAGGTGGCTGTAGTGGTCATTCATCACACCCGTAAGCAATCGGCAATGTGACACAAGCATCACCGGCTCCGGCGTTTGGAGCCAACCGGCCAAACGGCAAAAGGACGGTGTGCGAGAAGAGGGTCAGTGTGAGGCTGATGGGTGGAGAAGGTGGTGTAACTGTAACTGCTGGAGTCTAATTCACAGAGCAACGTTTGGGTCAAATCCAGGTCTGAGTCACAGGAGTATAGTTTAAGTCTAGTTCATGTGGTCTGAAAAACGAGTCGAACGTCGGTGAAGAACATTTCAAATGGAGTTTATGTTGAGTCCTTAGGGTCTCGCGTTTGGACATTGCCACTGTAGATAAGAGCATTGACTTGAAGAATGTTTTAATTTATAGTTTATCCGGTCGACTATTTGTCTCTTAAGGCGTGGACACTACAGAGCCTTGGACGTCTCGACACAGTGGTTTTAGCAGATTGTGTGTGAAAACTGAGGGACTGTGGACCGAACACTGACCACTGATGAACACTAACTAAACACACCCACGTCTTTGGGCCAGATTTGATTGGTCAAACCTCGCGTTCTCTCGCCTCGATATTCTCACTTCCCCGGTCGCCTGACACTGTTTACTGAGTCCCTTACTCTGTTGGTTCACAAACCTTCATGACCCAAGTCAATAGACATTATTTTTAAATCACAAAATAAACGTGTACTTGACCGTTACTGAACATTAAGGAGGATATGTTATCGTCGACCGAGTGATATCTGAACAATTAGTATTACTCACGTTGTAAACCGAACCACAGGTGGAGCTTTTAAACTGGCAGCTATTTTGAGGTTGGATGCGAGACGACCCAAAAATAATCTCCTGCGACCCACCTGAGGGTTGCGAGCCAGTCTTTGGGAAACAATGCTCTACTCAGTTCACACTGTCAGATAATGTCCAGATATTTAAACATGTTTGATGTTTGACTCTGTCCCCTCTCACACTGACACTGACTCCCCCGTCCTCCAAGACCGCCGCAGAATCACTGGTCAAATCTGACAGAACTTCCTCGTGGTGAGTCTGGAGTCTTCAGAAACCGTTTATCTCGATCCATGTCAGATCAGTCCAGATTGACTTGTTGTTGAAGTTCTCAGTTTCCTGCCTCCCCCCTCAGAGGTGCATCACCAGGGAGGCAGCAGTGAGTCAGTCCGCCTCGAGTCTCCAGAGGGAGTCCGGCTCAGCTCGGCTCCGCTCAGCATGGTATGGTATGGTTGTCAGACCACAGACCCCGCCCGCACAGAAAGAAAGAGAGAGAGGGAGATTCTGTGGGAGAGAGAGAGGCAGGAGGTGGAGAAGGAGAAGGAGAGGGGAGGCTACTTACTTCGACTCAGACCGAATCAGGAGAACTGCCGGGGAGTCTGAGTGCTGCTGCTGCCCCGTCGCTGCAGTTTGGACAGTTACAGCGAGCAAACGTGTGATGGACAGCTGAGACATCTGTGCCTGTGCCTGGTCAGCGTGACGCACGGAGAAGCGGAGTCACGTTGGATGAGGAGCCGGTGACAGCAGGAGCAGGAGGAGCAGCAGTTAGTGGAGATGCTGCAGGAGCGCGTCGCTGCGTGAAGAGCAGGAGGAGGAGGAGGAGGAGGAGAAGGAGGAAGAGGATGCCCCGGACTCTTATCTGTTAAGTTTGGACTCACATTTACGCAAAGGGAGTGTAACCCACTGCTCGGATTGTTTTTTGGGGGAAGGTCAAGTGGAAGCCACTGCGTGCGCACCGCTCGTCTCCAGCCCGGTGTAAACATACACGAGGAGCGGGTTCGAATGCTGACGCGTGTGCGCGCTAGAGAGTGAGTGACGAGATTTCTGATAGAACCCCAAACCTATTGTACACATTTGGAAGGCTGTTCACCTAAAGGGGAGTCGGGATTTGACCCCGGCAGCGCGTGCATCCATCGATTTGCGCGTAATGGGAGAAAAGTTTGGGACCTTGACTCTCAGCCTCCCGACGAAGAAGAGAAAGAACTAGTGAAAAGGCATTAGCTTTCATTTCTCCCGAGTCCGACCCAGGATTGAAAGTGACTCTCAGCCCTGCATTATGACTTAAAGCACTCCGAAGAACCTGCTTCTAGTCCAAAGACGCAAAAAAACGGACAGTGATCTCGAGCGGATTTGTGCAGCGGGAGCAGCGGCGCAGTGAAAACCTGATCCACCGGGAGGAGAAAGAGAACGGAGCGTACGCGCGCGCGCGCGTGTGTGTGTGAGAGAGAGGGAGAGAAGCGTTTCCCACTGGATGTCTATGATGTGGTGGCAGCTCGGACGGAGGTGTGTGATGGTGGAGGTGCTGCTGCTCACACTCCTGTCCTGGGTCTCGGTGTGGGCAGAGGAGAAGATCATATTTGACAGACACGCAGTCTACTGGAACAGCTCCAATCCCAAGTAAGTTCCAACACCTGTGTGTGTGTGTGTGTCTGTGTGTGTGTGTGCGTCCACTCACGGACACCTTTCGGCACGAGTGCTGGTCCTTTCACTGGTTTCAGTGGACCAGTCGTCTTTCACAACCAAACCCTGGTCCTGAAGCAGTAGAAACATCACCTTTGAGTTAAAGTTAGGATGAAGATGATGAAGGTGAGGGTGTATCCAGCTCCTTAACCAAATCTGCCGCGTAAACTTGAGTGAGTGTGTGTGTGTGCGTGCGTGTGTAGTGGAAACACTTTTTGTCCCCTCTGCCTGCCTTGAATTTCAAATTTGCACCTACAGTATCTAGATTGAGCAGTTATTTTGAATCAGTAATAAATAAATAAAAAACTATTAAAGTAGAAGTATTTTTTAAAATATTTTATAATATTATAAATATTTTGGAAATTCGTATATTATAGCAGCAACAATTAAAAAAAAAGTTAACCGCAATAAACGACGAAGAGCGAGAAAAGTGAAAATATCAACAGATTTTATTCCAGAAAAATCGCCATAAATTCAATTCAACACGGTTCCTGCTCCTCACGTCTGGATGGGTTATTCATGTTGTGATAAGGTGGATTTTTTTTCATCCATAACTGTATGTATTTATCACAGTTAATCGTTCAGTTGATTCAGTCATAGCTACAGAGATGTGAGGGGTTTGAACCCTAACCCTAAAGGTAAAGTAATTTTACCACACTCCCTTACTTTCCTTATAACAATATTTTTAAGGACTTGCAAAAAGTGTTACAGTTTTATTAATTTATTAATAAAAAAAACCCAAACATCTGGGACGCAGACCACGCGGGCTCCTCCAGCCGGGGCCCAGAGCCGGGGCAGTAACAGCTTCATAACCACACCTAAATTCATGCGCTTAAGTTCATAAATAAAATACTTCCAAATTTGCCACGGTTGGTGTGAAATGTTGTTGGGAATGACCTTCTGGTTTTCTACATTTGACTTAAATATTCTTAAAAAGGGATTGAAGTTGCAAAAAGACAAATCTAGAAAAAAAATGTATAAACCCGCCTGAAACTTTTGCCCAGTGCTTTAGGTGAAGGAAGAACTGTAGACTGAATCAAACGGACGAGTATTCTAGTCTCGAAGGTCTCCACTACAGAGCCAAATCAGCTAGAACCAGAAGAAGTATTACTGTGAGTACTGCAGTATACAGATGTATACGCTGACTCATTTAGGTGATTTTTTTGTTTATAGTGAAAATGTGCAGCACAGATATCATCTATATAACACAGACTCGTGGTGGTGTTACTGGGGTTTTTGGTGTAAATGTTTCGGTGGTGCTGCAGCAGGACGGGGTCTGTGGGGTTTTTTTTTCCTCTAGAAAAAAACAAGAAAGATTTGAGTTTGTGATTAAACCTCGTCCTCAGGTTAGAAGAAGAAGACACAGTGGTCAGCATACACACACACACAAACACACACACACACACACACACACGTAGAACCATCAACTCACTTTAATACACACATATGATAGACGTGCAGTGCGCTCTCTGTCCCTACCTGCAGGGGGCATCAGTGCTGTCTGAACCAATGCATGTCTGAGACTTGTGACTGTTGTGATGGGAGGGTGGAGGTGGGGGGCATGGGAGGTGTAAAGGTGAGAAATACACAAGCACACAACAGGTATAGACACACACAAACACACAAACACACAAACACACACACAACAAAGATACACAAGTAGAAACATGAACGAACAGACAAACGAAAACACACACAGACTCACAAACAGACAGACACACACGTAACAACGTAACAACACCGCTACACCTGAGTCAACCTGCGCACGCGAGGACACAAACAAACAAGAAACACTCGGACACTTGGACACACAAAGACGCGTACACACACACTAACGAATACACACATACACACACACACGCACAGACACCTCTGGAGGGGTGAGTGTGTGTGTGGTGTCCAGTCCTCTGACTGTAGGTGTCCCACGTGTCTGTAGTTGTGGACGGTGATCATGTCACAGGTGTTGACGTCACTGTGGTCCACACGTCTCTGTCATCTACTGTCAAAAACCACAAGTGTGTGTAGAGTTAGATACTCAGTCAATACTGTATGAAGTAAAAAAAAACAAACTCCAAGACTCTGCATAAAAATATTTCAATGATTGAGAGAGAATTAAAAAAAAAGAAAAACGAAAAATGTACCGGGTAATTAATTAACAAAAAATATAATTTTTGTCCGAGACAAATATACGTGTTGTACTACATATATACGTGAATAATAATGCCAGTCAAAGACAATAAAATATGCATAAACTGTAACAACTCTCTGATATTTCTAAAACAATTTAATTTGTAAAAATTATTTTCATTTAATTTTAATTAAGGGCCATAAAACTGACATCAACACGGATATTTATGTAGAAGAAACTGACTCAGACTGTACTGAAGACTGTACTGGAGACTGTACTGGAGACTGTACTGAAGACTGTACTGAAGACTGTACTGAAGACTGTACTGAAGACTGTACTGAAGACTGTACTGAAGACTGTACTGAAGACTGTACTGAAGACTGTACTGAAGACTGTACTGAAGACTGTACTGAAGACTGTACTGAAGACTGTACTGAAGACTGTACTGAAGACTGTACTGAAGACTGTACTGAAGACTGTACTGAAGACTGTACTGAAGACTGTACTGAAGACTGTACTGAAGACTG